GAAACAACTTCAGGATCCATAACTGAAGAACGTTACAGATATTTTATGAAAGACTGAGGCCACGAAAGTAAACCATGCAGAGAATAAGCCATATAAAGAAGGGTTAAACATCTATGATTTAGTCTGGATTGAAAAAGAATGAGCAATTTGTAATTATTGAGGAAGTGGGAGGTGTGTTACAAAGCATGACTATTAGCTATTCTCCATTGCCTGGGTGGGCAGAAAAAGAGGTACTGGGCATTGATCATGATGTAGGAAGTGAGTGGGATGTGAGTCTTGTTAAACCCATTAGCAATCATGCAGACACAGAACCCACTTTCAGGAGGTACTGACACAGGCTAGTATCCAGTTGGCTAAGTTAGTTTTGCGCATGTCTGATGGAGGAGGCAGGCTCTATACCTTCCATCCCAATGAAGTAATAAAGTGAGAGGCTGAGAGTTTGGGTCAAACACTTAAATCATAAAATCATATGTGACCTGTGAGCTTACCAGAGTTTCCTAAAAGCAAATGAAAATAGATTGCTCTTTATTCTTCTTTTACTTTTTCATAGCTCCTTCTTCTAAAGAAAACCTAAAAAGTACTTCTTCTATGTCAGAACTTAGATGTCTAACAAGCAACAGAGTTCATTCTCTTTGGAGTGTCTAGGGCTGAGAATCAAATGTTGAGAAAATGACTCCTAGATTTTTTTGAGCCTTTCATTTTGAAACTAGATATTCTAGCAAGAGAAATGTCCAAGATACTGCATGTCTCTCCATATCTAAAGTTTTTCCTACAAACGAGAGCAATTTAGTGGCTTCTGCTGGTCACTCAGTAAGCGATGCTGTTGACAAGCAGAGCAGTGAAACTGCACAACCAGAAGCTGCTGCTAAATGAAACCAATGAAGGTAAGATAAATGCCGAGTAATAATTTTGTCCTGGGCCTTAAACCACCTAATCTCAGGCCAAATAAAGTATAAGATTATGCTAAAGACCCTCCCCTAAAGGGAAAGACCCTCCAGGTCAAAATCAGTAAGAGCATCCAGGAACTCTAGTAACCTCACAGACCCTTCTCGGGCAGCACATGTGAGAGGAGGATGGTGACAGAGGATTCAGAAGCAGCTGGATACTCAGCATGGGGTTTTAATCTGGTTAAATAGCTCATACATATTCTTAATTTTCCCAATAACAGAGAAATACAGAAATGGACTGCATACAAAATAGTGATAATGATACCAAGGTGTAATAAGTCATCGTTTAGGTGATATCTTTAAAAAAATCTTAGCAGTTTCAATGATTTTTCCTATTTTAAAAGTTCTGTACATTTTAGGACCAGACAATTTTTATTTTTGCTCTTTTTCCCTCTGCAGACTAACTTACTTCGGTACAAACAATAGATTCAATGAATTTTTTTAGCACCTACTATGCAATAGGCATATTTTTAGTTTATACCCAGGGATCAAATGCACTATTACAAAATAATGCATTTTGTGACTCAGCTTTATTTTCCTTGAATGATAACAACTGTGTGGTGTTTAGTATGTGAACTGAGTAAACAAATCTAGGCAGTTGACAGGTAGTGGATGGCATTATAACACAGGGAGCCAAGTTTGTTTTAGCTAGTCCATATCCAAACCAGACGAACTTTGAGCTGTTATTGAACTTTCACTTACAATATAAATTCAGAATTCACATATCCTTTGTCCTATCTACATCATCTCTCACATATCTACTATTGAGGGAATAGCATTAAGAGTTCTAACCAGTGAGGAGAAGAACACAAACCCTAATTCACCGTAATGAACAATTCATCCTGAATGGTTTACATGAACAACTTTGTAAGGATACAGTGATGCTCTTCAATATTGGTTTTAATTATGGATTTATATGTGAAGAAAAGGACTGACTCTGTGCAAGACTTGCTTTCTTGGCTGCACCAAATGCTGGTGGCCCCACCACTGGAACTAATTGCAGCTAGGACTATGCTGTCCTGATTCAGTAGACCCAGTGACACAAAATTCACTTCATCTGTACCTTAAGGCTTGTGACAGTTGTCTCAACCCTCTCCTCAAATGATTTGAAAGTAGGAGAATTCCTAAAATAACAAAAAGAGAGAGGTCAGCTCCAAAGACCCAGCTGTCTCAGCAACCATGGGGTCTGGTTTCTGCTCTTGTAAACATCACCTTTGCACCTGAGCTAGCTGTTGGTTTACCACCTACACAAACCATGTTTTAACATATATTTCACTTCTGCTAGGTTAGATCCAGGAACCATAACCTGACATGGACTCTTCCTAAATAAAAGAGCCAGAAAGTCCACTGTAGAATAAATAATATAGCATTTGGCAGTGACACTGCTGTTAAAATGCCTTGAGACACTGTAAATCACTTTTAATGAGTTGAAGGAGCGACAGCTTAATTTTCATCTACCAATTGTTTCTGTCACAACACTCTTTTTCCAAACTCTTTTTTTTTTTTTCGTAAGCATGAAAAGACTATCTTAAGAATGTTGTATTTGGCTTTTCCCACTTGGAATTTTAAAGTTACTCATTGCAGTGAATGCGAGACTGGACAGAAATAACCCAAGGAAAAAAAGGCTCATAAGGTTTTTTTTTCTTTTCATTGCCTTAAAAAGTAACCACTTGGTCAACTTCCATGAAGAGATGTTTCTGAAAGTTAATGCTTTGATTATTATAAGTTGAAATATCACTTGTCTAATGCTTGATCAAAATGGTGTTAGCATGTGGCATTTTTCCTCCTGAAGAGGATATGCCTATTTGTTCTCTTATGAGAGACAACCTTTGACATTTTATTAGTGACTCATCATTGTGTTAAATAATCTCTATAGCATTTTGTCACTATAAGCATTAAATACTTCACGTGGTGCTTTTTGGTTTCCTATATTGGATTTGACCACATGACATGATTTAATGACAGCATTACCATTAAGAATGACATTACCAAGTCCAACTAAAGAAACAAAAACGGAACTAAAAATGCATCTTAAAGCATATATCCTTGTTAGCTTTCAGCAATGATTGCCATCATTTTCAGATCAAATAACTCAACTGAATGTTACTATATATTAGACAATCCACTTGTTATTCTCTCTCGAGTGTGGTAGAAATAAAATAAGAGGAATAGTCTATAAAATATAGGCTTCATTGTATGGTGTAGGATGAAGCATGGCTCTAATACTATCAAGAGGAAACTAATATAGAGAATACGTTTTTGAAGGAATTTGGCTTTATTACAGATTGTCTCTTAAGACTCTGACACTCCAGATGTCATAAACGCATTTGCAGTTAGGCCATATGAATTAACAATGGTGAGATAAGCAGGCCTGAGCATGGCATCACATCTTGTATTTGATTCAAACATAAGTCCAATTCTTATGAGTAATCCTCCAAATACCTCTTTTTCATGAAGATATATTAGTGAAATTACACTTGAATGACTCAAAAGTTACACTTATTAATACCTGACTTCCACTGCGGATTCTATTTGGCCCAGTCTGCTCACATGATTGCTGTCATCCATCAGTTACACAGGACTGCAGTAGGCAGACAGTTTAGCCTAATAGTTCATGGGTATGTTAGATGAGTAAAATCTTTTTTTTTTTTTTTTTAAGTTCATTTCAGGCAAGTTCATGAGGACTGCATTTGACCCACAGCCACAAGATGGATTCCTGGTTCACAGAGCAAAATCACATTAATTTTTTGCAAGCCTCCTTTGGACACTCGGATTCAAAAATTTGACAAGTAAAGGAGCTGAGAGCCTCAGGTTGCACTACTCAGTTTGGGTATTCTTGTGCTAGGGGGAGCAAGTCATTCAAATACGAGCTAGGCAATCTCAAATCTATGCTCTCAATTTACCACCAAATTTGGGAAGTCAAATACTGTTGTTAAATTTCCAAAGTAACAAAATAACCCCAGTGTAGAAGAGGTATTATCAGACATAACAAAACAGACATTCCTCTAACTAAATTACAGTAAAATATGTGCCGGAGAAATTATTTACTCAGATTTAATCACATCATATACTACTACAAACTTTTAGCACTGCAAATGACCCCAGAAAGAAGTTGACTTCAGTGCTCTCTAACTATTTAGAGTAACTGAGCCCCCTTTAAAATGTATGTACACCACAATATATGATATAAAACAGGCAGAGAGGCACAGTTCCAACTGAAGTGGGGAAGGGTCCCAGAGGCTGGATTCCTACTCTGTCACCACCACCACCGAGGCAGCCCAAGGCCAGTACCATGGGAAGAGCAGTAAATCTGGTTCTAGCCTCATTGTAAACATGATGAAACTGAGGTGAGTTTTCCAAGGCCGCAAAGTTCATTCTTGGCAGAGCTGGGCTACAACCTACATCTTCTGATTCCCAGTCTAATATTCATTCCTCTGTACTACTATTAGCTTGATTTCATGTGATTGTATCACAAAATCAAGCAAAACTGGAAGTGGAGACCATCTTAGTTTTCATCCAGCCCATAATTTTAATGACATTTTTATTGTTCAACAGACACTTCACCTTAATATATACCTTAAAAATTTGTAATGACATCCTTTCCACGACTGTAGCCCTCTTAATCTCCTATCCTTCCATTTAAACTTTCTTCCAGGCTTGCATTTAATTCTGGTGAGATAAGAAACATATTTCCATCTCTGCCAGTTGCTCAGGCCCTGTATTAAGTGCTCTACAGAGGATACTTTGTTTAGAACTCACAAGGACCATATGAGGTAGGTCTTATTTTTCCTGGTATGTGGATAAAAGAGGTAGGTTAAATAACTTGTCTCAGGTCACACAAATCAGGAGAGGCTGGATTTAGGCCAATGCGTATGGTCAAGCTCATTGCGCCTACAATACTTCTGTAGAATTGTCAGCCTTTTCTCCTGAGGGCCATCAGAAAACAGAATGAGGTAGGTAGGTCATGGTACTTACTTTCAAAGGGAGACAAAACCCACAAAGTAAATATCAATAAAGTAATACTTCATATACATTTTGCATTAATATTATGTAAAATAATTTACACACGTTACCTCATAGCAGGCATACTTATGGAATGGCGAATGGAGTAGCTTCAGGGCAAAAGCAGATTAAATGGAAGAAAGAAAAAAGAAGATAGCACAATGTAAGTACATGAGAAACTCCCTATTCACAGTTCTGAAACGTTAATTTCAGCTATCTGCAGTATTTGCTGCCCATCCCACCAAGATGATATTTGTTATTGTTGGGAACATGGGCCACAGTTGCTTCCAAGGGTACAAAGGAAGAGCTGCATATTATTTTACTTCCTGGAGGTTTCCTGTAAGTCAGGGAATCTGAGGAGAATGTCTGGTTTCCCCCTGGTCAGCTCATTAGCCTCTGGGCATCTTCTCCAGGTCCAGCTCCCTCTCTACTCTTTGTTCCTGGTCGGAACCACAGGAAGGGCAGTATCCAGGAAATAGAGCCAAGGCAGGTAAAAACTAGTCATTCCATTGTAGAGAAACTCTCTCCAGGGGAATATACAGAGTTAACACAAGACAATCAAGGAAACACACATCATGCAAACACAATTCACAGTCGGGATTTCTGCCTCCATTCTAAAACACCGATACAAATATTAACATTTCTAAGAAATCTAAGACTTCTCAACCAATTAATCCAAGGGTAGCTGACTCATGTTCCCTCTGACTGACTGCCTGTTATTTCTATGTGAGTTTCACTCAGAAATAGGGTTCATTTTCCTGGGCTAGTGTTTCCCCATCGCACCTTCCAACACCATCTCTGCTTTCTCTTCTCCTGAGAAGGGATCAAACTCATCACCTTTCCCCATCAATATCCACTGAGGTCATTAATATGGGTGGCACTCTACTAGAGCTCAGACAGAAAAGGACAAAGAAATTCAGGGGATACCTATGGTCCTATCTTAGATACTCCATTTGGAAACTATAGGCAAAATATTTCCTCAGAAATTACATGAGAAAAGGACAAATCAACCCCCCCCCCACCAGCACCCCCCCCCCACACTCATCACATCA